GGCTATCAAACATAGCCTAATTGTTTTACTTAGAGGTTCAATGCTCAATTCCTTGAACCCCCAAAATTTTAAAAAATAATTTTGAAAATCGGTAAACCGACCGGGTTAACTCGGTCAAAACTACCGGTTAACTCGATCGAAGCAGATTTTTAACCGAGCCATGTGTATTTCTATTAAATTAATATACTCGGCCCGGACAAGAACTCGGGTCACCGATTTTCTGGCCTGACTGGGTTTTATAACTATGAATGTAACATATACCAAGTGTTATTACTTAATAACCGAACTTAAATTATCTCAATGGTTACTGAACTATGCACTGTGTTACCATCCATCACTCATGTAGAAAATTCGTTAGGTTCAACAAATGGTATCGATTTGAGTGATAGATGGATAACACGGTGCATAATTCAATGATCATTGAGATATAATTTTAAATTCAATTATTAAGTAGTAACGATTGGTATAGTTCAATCACCATTAGAATACAATTTTAAGTTCAATTATTAAGTAGTAACAATTTATTCTTCCTTCAAATTGACCTCTGTAAAATAAGAAACCAAAGAAAATGAAAGAAAAAAAAAGAGAGAACCGAAAATCAGAGGCCTAAAAATCACAGAAAAATGTAACTTTTCAGATTTATGCATCACAAATTTATGCAAAAGATCAAATTTTGCCTTGTGGATATCTCATTTTTCCACCGAAAAAAAAAAAATGGATTTTTTGGTAGTGGTTGAGATTTTAAAATTTGAGGATCAAAGGTTTCTACAAAAGATAAAATTATTGGTTGATTTTGGAACGAAATTGGATTGTGGAATTGGACTAGTGAGATTTTTGTGAAGGATTGAATATTTGAAAGTGGACTCCAAATGGACAAATTGATCTTTTGTAAAAGTCTGTAATGTCAAATTTCGAAAAGTTCTATTTTTCTTTAATTTATATGCCTTTGATTTTTAGTTTCACCCTTGTCCCCTTCATTTTTTTTACGAGGTCGATTCAAAGGAAGAAAAAAGTTATTACTACTTAATAATTGAACTTAAAATTGGATTTCAATGATGACTGAACTATATCAATTGTTACTATTTAATAACTAAATTTAAAATTGTATCTTGATATCAATGAATTATGCATCGTATGAACCATCCATCACTCAAGTTGATGCCGTTTGTTGAATTTAACGAATTTTTCCACTTGAGTGTTGGATGAGTAATACGATGCATAACTCAGTAATCATTAAAATACATTTTTAAATTCTATTATTATGTAGCATTCAAATAATTTACCTAATAAAAGTAGTGAGGCCTCATAAGTCACCTGCTGCACCTGTACTTTAACGGGGACCTAAAGGTCCTAAAGCGTAATTTATCGCGACAAGCTAAATTGCTCCAAAATAGATAAGACTCGGGACGGATTTTCCCCAATTTAAAAATTAAAATCCGATCCGGACTACAGCAGAATCTCAGTCATTCAAATAAACTGACAACTAAATCCTGACCGTACGCTTGAGATGAATTATTCTGACGTCTTTTTAATTTGAAAACGACATAAGAGAGGCCAATAAATGGGTCCACCGCACGTTCTGCCACGTCACCAAATTTATGTCGTTTTTACTGGTTGGACTTTTCAAATTTTCAATCCTTTACGTGGTATAATAATGGGACATTTTCACAAATATCACTAAATTTGAAAATACATAAAA